AGGGGCCCAAAACTGGACACAGCACTCAAGGTGAGGCCTCACCAGTGCCCAGTACAGGGGGACAATCACCTCTCGGGCCCTACTCCCCACGCTGTTCCTGACACAGGCCAGGATGCTGGTGGCTTTCTTGGCCACCTGGGCACACTGCTGGCTCATCTTCAGCCCACAGGCCACCAACCCCCCAGGTCCTTTTCTGCTGGGCAGCTCCAGCCACTCTGCCCCCAGCCTGGAGCGCTGCCTCGGGTTGGTGTGACCAGAGACCACTAAATCCCCTGCTCCCCACCTGTCCCTGGGGGCTTTGCAGTTTCTCTCCTTGTCTTGGTCAGGATCATACCGGTCCTGTGACAGACACATCTCAAATCAGGAGTCACTTCTGCTTGTCTCTTCCAGAGAGGCCGCCCGGGAATGCCGGAGGAAGAAGAAAGAGTATGTTAAATGCCTGGAAAATCGAGTCGCAGTCCTGGAAAATCAGAACAAAACTCTAATTGAAGAGCTAAAAACTTTGAAAGATCTTTACTGTCATAAAAGTGTGTAAGAAAAAGAAGGTAAAACTTTTGTGGACTGTTTAAATTTCAGAGGAGAATTTTTTTTTTTATACTGAATTTTTTAAACTAGATGAAAGGTCAAAAATGAAACTTTTCTACCTAGATTTCACAGCTTAAAGACTATATAGATTTTATTTACAACGTGTTGGTGACAAAGTACAAAAAAGGAAACAAGAAAACCTCACCAAAATTCCTGCTGGCACAACTGGAAACTTTCTAAAGTCAAGATTGCACCTCCAGTAAAGGACAGGCCCGTTCTCGAGGCAGGTGATTAGAATTTCATTGCAAATTTCCGCCGGTTCCTCTTGCAATGGAGGCAGCGTTTGCTCACAAGTAAAATGTGGATGAAATGGAATCTTTGCCATAGTTGACATTATTAGTAACATTTATAACCAGTGTATGTTTTGATTTCTTACTCTTTTTCAATCCTTACTTTTTCTTTCAGTTATTTGTATGTAAATATTTTTATTTTAACCTGTAAGTTGTCATTTACAGGTGCAGATGATAAAAAAAAAAAAAAATTGCAAATTTCCGCCGGTTCCTCTTGCAATGGAGGCAGCGTTTGCTCACAAGTAAAATGTGGATGAAATGGAATCTTTGCCATAGTTGACATTATTAGTAACATTTATAACCAGTGTATGTTTTGATTTCTTACTCTTTTTCAATCCTTACTTTTTCTTTCAGTTATTTGTATGTAAATATTTTTATTTTAACCTGTAAGTTGTCATTTACAGGTGCAGATGATAAAAAAAAAAAAAACTAATACTTTGCTAGAGGTATAAATTATGTTTACTCTTTCTCAGCTGACAGTTTAAAAATTTGGGTTGTGTTTTGTTGGTTTTTTTGTTTTTTTTCTCCAATGTTTGCTGTGTTGATGGGTATAAATTATGTTTACTCTTTCTCAGCTGACAGTTTAAAAATTTGGGTTGTGTTTTGTTGGTTTTTTTGTTTTTTTTCTCCAATGTTTGCTGTGTTGATGGGATTTGGAAAGGGCCCGCAGCGAGCGGGGAGAAGCCCAGTCCCAGGAGTGTCTGAGGCTCAGGGAGCTCAGGGGGGACTTTTCTTAAGAGAATTGAAGCCCCTGGGGTTCCCTCGGAGCCCGGACGGGACGAGGAGCTGGGGATTCCTCAGCATCTGGGCATCATGAACATCTCTAATTATAAAAATAAATTGCGTGCTGATTATCTCTCCAATTAAACACACATTGATTATTCCGTCTGGAGATTCTACTGTGCTTTGGAACATTTAAACCAAATAGAAGAAGAACGTTAAAATAAAAAAAAATGGAAGATATATACCAAAGGGTTAATGAGGTTCTAATATATGGTTTCTATGCTGAAAGTAGTGCAAAATTTCCAGACTAATTTTGTAAGGTAGGCGATATTTTGCGAAGTAGCGGTGTCTTTGTAAGAAAATATTCTATTGAAAACAGGTAGATGGTTGGTATATTTTGTAGCTAAATTGTGATCTTTACAAATTCTGAAATTGAGTTTATATACATATTTTGACAGTTTATATATTTCATTTTAGTAAACAAATGAAATATTTTGTGAACCAGATTTTCAAGCCTATATTTTTATGGATAGTACAAAGTCAAATGAGATCCTCTTTGGTGTAGGAGATATTTGAATTAATTTTGTATGTCTGTGGGAAACTTGCAAAAAAATGGATCCTGAAGAGTATTGGGAAAAAAAAAGATTAAAAAAAAGAGATCAGGGCTTTTTATTCCCCACAGTTGCTATCGGCTGCATGTTAGCTCTGATTGCACCAGAGATCCTAGTTTGTATGATTCTAATTTGTTTCAGATGAAAATTAACCATTTGACACGATCGGGGCTCGTTTGGGTGTGGGGTCTCCATCCCTGGAGCTCTCAGAGGCCGCCGGGAGGTGGGTCCTGGGCAGCCCCCGGCGCGGGGGCTCGGGCACGGCGACCCCCCGGGTCCCCCCCGGCCACCACCGCTCTGCGGTTCTGTGAAATAGAGACATGTGTCTGCAGTGCTTCTTGCATGAATAATAAATACACTATTTTCCATAGTTAGGATTGAATCCTGCTTCCAGTTATGTCAGCGGGAGTTGCGCTCTGGGCTGTGCCGTGGGACGGTGTCCCAGCTCCGTGTGTGTGTGTCGTGTTCGCTCAGAGCCGGGGGGACTCGGCCGCGCTCCCTCCCGAGACGCGTAAACGCTTTTCATATGGTCAGCCAGGATTTCTTATTTTACTCATTTTTGAATTAATGGTCTTCTTAGCAAGCAGAGCTCTTTGCGTACAGTATGAGAAAGACTGCATTCCACAATCACATTGGTAGTAGGCTATAAAAATAACTTTTTTTTTTTTTTTTTTCCATTAAAAGCAAAAGCAGAGGTTAGCAAGAGTCAAACCAGGAAAACAGAACAAATAAATTGATATTTGAAGAGGTTCAGAAAAACAAACATCAGTACAATTTCTTTTTTTTTTTTTTTTTTTTCCTAAAGTTTCTAATTCTGTGATGGTTACGGACATGATCCATGATACATTTGCTTTAGGCCAAACCGGGGCAGACGTTTGTGTTCGCGATCACGTCAAAAAAAAAGTGCTCTTTTTTGCACATGGAAAATACTAAGCGAGGTCGGGAAAGCCGTTGTGCTGGGATCTGCTCCGGGGGGTTCGGGGGAATTTCGGGGGGCACCGGGCGGCTCTGCTCCCCCCGGGGGGGTTGGTCTGCAGGAGGGTCCCACCCCCAGCTCTGAAACGCGTTTGGTGACTCCTCTGTGCGGTGTTTTTGATCCTCACTGTGTGCTCTTGTTCCTTTACCTTCTTTTGTAATACGGAATAATAATAATAATTAAAAAAAGCTATCAAGTGTTAAGACTGTAAAAAAAAAATGGTGGCCAATTCTTTTTGTATTCAGCAAGTGAAACAAATGTAGTGCTGCCGGACATAAGGGTAGTCAGTTTTTATCCTCTTAAAATACTGTTTTGGACAGAGCAGCTCATTTTTCGTCATGGAAATATTAAACAGTAACATGAGTTTGCTCTTTAAGTAATCACTTATCATGAAGTACTTATTTTGGATTTACTTCAAAGTCTAGATTGTAAGAGAATAAAATCTATATCCTGAGAGTAAGAGACACAATACCTAATACTGTTCTGCTGGTTATTTCCAAACAAAAATACATGCTTTATATGAATTGTAAATATTTGTCGAAGCAATTAGATGGTTGCAAATTTTGACCTTGGTAAATAAAGTCGCCAAAATATAATTCTGCTGTTCCTTATTTATTTTTAATGAACATAGTACTGCAGCGGCGCTGACCAAATGTGCATGGATCGTGTGGTATCGAGTCTTTTACAGTGGCCAAGAATAAATATTTAGTTTATGAAACAGCACCCAGAGATCTTTTACCTGGTGCGTCCTTGCAGCAGGCAGGGCACCAAGTTACTTGTGCAGAGAATTTAAGCCATCGCTAAAAATAGTTAGAGGCAAACACCTTTTGTCTTTCCGCAGGTTTTTTTCCTCTTTAGTTTTCAGTGAGCTGAGCTGCTGTTTTTAACCCAAACCTGCCATGCTCTGCTGATCCACCCGGCAGAGGGAGTGTCTCTGCCCTCTGCAGAATGGCAGCAGCGTCACTGGGCCGTACTGAAGGTTCTGATGCACAGAAACAGGGTAGGAAAAAAGTATTTTCAGTTGGTAACATTTCTATATACAATTTCTTTATTGGGGTCAAGGCTGTAATCGTTTGCTCCGCTGTTAGTGGGGATAGCAAAGGCAGGAAACAAAAAAGGCAACACAATTGCAAACATGACTTCTGAAAAATAAGTGTGTCCTTTGGCTCTCGGGTTTGTTGTGAAACAGGAGTTGGCTCTTTCCACGGTTTAAGGGGCAAACCGACCCCCCGGCGATGACACGATGGGTTGTCCCTTCAGCAGGTCTACACGAGTGCCATCCCTGCCAGAGTCAGGCAGACAGTCAGGGGGATGCTGAGGGGGCTCCTGGCCGTGCTGCTCTGCAGCTCCGATGCTATCCACGCTCTGTACTGCGTCAGGCGGACGTAGATCCCGGGATACGCCGGTCGGCCGCAGCCCAGGCCGAAGCTGGAAATGCCCATGAGGTAGTACGTGTTGGTCCCAGCGTGGTAACAGGCCAAAGGTCCACCGCTGTCTCCCTAGAAACAAACAGTATAAAGAACTAGGAACTTATGCTCCCACCCAGGAGACAATGCAGAAGTCAGTAATGTGTCCACTTTTTTCCTTAACTATTTTTCACTCTGTGCAGCGACCCGGGCAGTAACGCTAACGGACCCCACGGCTCGTGGTGCACAGAGATGCAGTGGGGTGATGCCGGGTGAGGGGGGCTCGAGTCCCACCCCCACCTGAGTGAGCTTTGGTGTCTTTAGTTAAAGTTCTGGTTTTCTCTCCGCACCTTTTCATTCCAAGGCTCATCTCCCTAAACTTTCTCACTCCTCAGTGAGTGTGAGGACACACCATCCATGTGGTGTAGGTACCGAGACCACGGTCAGGCAGGCAGAGCCCTGAGTCTCTGCCACGGCACCTCCTGCCAGGGAAGGGGCTCATCTCCCATTTCTCACTCCCCAGTGAGTGTGAGAACACACCATCCATGTGGTGTAGGTACCGAGACCACGGTCAGGCAGGCAGAGCCCTGAGTCTCTGCCACGGCACCTCCTGCCAGGGAAGCGCTGAGGGGAGCAGGGAGTGGGACAAGGACCTACCAGCACGTGATGGGTTTCAATCACAAATGTCTCCCGCATCACAACTGGTGCCCCAGCTTTTGCAGACTGGTGCTTTTGACCTGAGACTTGTCATTTCTGGGGAAGAGATGCTGATTGCTCAGCATTTAAATAAAAATCTCTCCCTGTCACTGAACCATATCACCTTCCATAGCTGCTGCTCTTTCAGCAGCACAAAACCAGGTAAGATGCTTGCGCACGTCACACGCTGCGTGTGTACCATCATACCCCTGTGTATCCACAGCTGTGTTTGTGTAATACATAACTTATTGACATCTTTGTGGCAAGTGTTGTATAAATGTGTTTGAGCTGTTTACCCTTTCCCCTTGTTATCTTACTCTTATCTTCATCCGAGCATCACTGAATCCATGTGTGGTTTTGAGATGTGTTTTTTCTTTGGAATCACCATCTTGCCTCTCTTTTTATTTATGCTGATGCTTTTGCAGTAGGATGTGTTTTCTGCTTAGCATGTGTGTCATTGTAATGAGCTGTGCCACAGCTGCTGGCCCCTGGCTGGGGCTTTTCCCCGGGGCCGTCCGTACCTGGCAGGCGTCGACATCCCCGGAGCGAGAGCCGGCGCAGAGCATGTTCCTGTTCACCAGCCCCCCGTAGGAGTCCGAGCCGTTGCAGGTGCTGTAAGGGATGATTTCCACTTGAGCTTCTCTTAACACAGCCGAAGCATCACCTGTAACGAAAGGCAGCATATAGAAAGGTAAAATATTTATGCTGTTGTGTGTAGAAATTCTTACCGTGTTCTTTTTCCCCCTGTTTAGCTGAAGTGTGTTTGTGCACGTCTTGATACAGAGATTGTGCCACCTTCTACTGCATTGAAACTTCAGTGCGTTAAGGATTTGCAGGGTTGGGTTTGGTGGTGTCTTCTGCAGTTCTTATTGTTCTTATCCCCAGCCCTCCTCAAAATCTCCACACCAGGAGGACACAGGCCACCACCTGGCCAAGAGGTCGTGCTCGTTGGGATTAAAGGGAGAGTCTGAGGGAGCACAACCAGTTGTAAAACACACGGGGACCCCGGGTTCACAATGCATAGCATCAGAATTGTTGTTTTTCTACAAAAAAGCCATTTCTAGCAGATGACATCGAGTAGCTGTACCATGAATCTGAAAGTCAGGCTGGTTCATTTTCCTTTTTTGGTGTTATACTTGGAATAAAATCTAGAAAATGTATGCCTATCATAGAATCATAGAATGGTCTAGGTTGGAAGAGCCCCTTGGGATCATCGAGTCCAACCATCTCCCCTCCTCTACAAAGTCCTCCCCTACACCATGTCCCTCAGCACTGCATCTAAACGGCCCTTCAACACAGCCAGGGATGGGGACTCCACCCCCTCCCTGGGCAGCCTGTTCCAATGCCCGACCACTCTTTGGGTGAAAAATTCCTTCCTAATGTTCAGTCTAAACCTCCCCTGTTGGAGCTTGAAGCCATTCCCTCTCGTTCTGTCACTAATTACCTGTGAGAAGAGACCAGCACCAACCTCTCTACAGTGTCCTTTCAAGGAGTTGTAGAGAGTGATGAGGTCTCCCCTCAGCCTCCTCTTCCTCAAACTAAACAGTCCCAGCTCTTTCAATCACTCTTCATAAGATTTTATTCTCCAGCCCCCTCACCAGCTTCGTTGCCCTCCTCTGCCCTCGCTCCAGCACCTCCAGATCTCTCTTGGATTGAGGTGCCCAAAGCTGGACACAACACTCGAGGGTCTAACCTGCTTTCAGTGGAAGAACTGGTGAAAGCAGAGATTGAATTGCAGGAGGATTTAACGGGTGGTGTGAGACGCCTCCTGACCCGCAGGGAAGCTGTACCTTGCTCGTAGGTGCGTCCCCAGCCGCTGATGAAGCAGTCGGTGCCGTTCTCCAGCGCCGGGGGCAGCTCGGCGGGGGGCAGGCAGATGGGCTGGATGTGCCCGTTGTACCGGACGGCGTAGCCCAGCGCAAACAGCGCGATGTCGTTCTCAAACGTTTCCCTCTTGAATTCCGGGTGCACCGTGATGCTTCTGATCTTTCTTTTCACTGTGTGTCTGCTAAATTTCTGCAGGTTATGCGTGCCCAAAACTGCTCTCCAGGAGTACAGGTTCCTAAGACAGAATTCATGTAATTTTTTACAATTATGTTGAAGCAAATCATCATTTAACCCATTGTTTTACTGTTGGCTTATGCACCTGTAGGAAAATACACTGAAAATTCTGTGAACAAATTGAACAGAATGACCACTCAGTTTGCCTAATGCTAGTTACGGTGAATTCAGATTAATGATTTAAGCTGATACTCAGCTTTTGCTTCCGACTCCATCTCAGCTGAGGCCACCCAGGAGATATTCTTTTGAAAAAGATAAAAACACGGATTTATTTTGCAGAAGGAAGGTAGACTTATATCCATGGTGCTTATAAAAACTGTGCTTGTACCCAGATTTGGGAAATCCATGAACTAGTTATCAACTTAATATCCACTTAATACTAATTTAGAAATAGGGCCACAGTCGTTCTGACCTGGTTCCTGTTCAAGTCTGTTGATGCTGATAGCTAAGTGGCAATTGAATTTGGCCTGTGATGAGTAAAGGGCAGGCTGTAAAGTTCAGATTAACCTCCAGAATTCTCCAGAGCATAAGATAAAAATTAAATTGATTATTTGTGATCTAATGCATCTCTACAATAATGTTTGTAAAAGTGCATTTAAAGAAACAAGGAGCAGATCTAACAAAGTCCTGACAAACAATGAAATTCCAAAGTTCAGAGGTTTTTACAGTTCACTTTCCCTCGGTTCATAGTTATGTCAACACAGTCAATACGAACCTGCATGAACTAGATTTTGTAATGATGCTAAAGACTGTGAAAAGAATGATGAGAAAGCTGAAATGCAGCAGAGTTGCTGTAAGTACAATGAAAAAGCCTGTTCTGAGGAGTGTTACTACCACATTGTCCAAAAAAAAGTAAAGTGCTAAATTGCTGGTTCTGTTAAACAGGAAAAATGAAAACAGTGTTTAAATTAATGAATTGCAATGTTTCTAATTTAAATACTGCAATATTTTCTTTTTGCAGTGAGCTTAACTAGTTTAGAAAAATCTATTAACCAGAAAAATTAGAGCTCCATGGAAAAAAAGCCCTCGACCTAACAAAAAATGTCACCTAGATCAAAACCCAATGACCCTTCATTAAAAATACGGATGGTTGTTCTGGGCCAAGCCAGAAGGGCATGTCCAAAACTTCTTGATGCTGCCATACAAAGATGGGACTTTGCATCCCACGCTGGGCTGGCGGCGTCACCACCCAGGGCCAGTACAGTGAAGGTGAGGGAGGGAACAGAGCCAGCCTTCGGTCCTCAGAGCCACGACCAGTCCCTGGGACGGGCCCTGTCACAAACAGGGGTTGCAGAGTTGGGTCCACACAGTGGTGCTGCCCTGGGAAAGCTCCATCTGGAGCCCTGGAGAGACATGAAGCTGTTGGAGCAGGGCCAGAGGAGGCCATGGAGATGCTGGGAGGGCTGGAGTCTCTCTGCTGTGAGGACCAGGCTGAGAGAGTTGGGGGGGTTCAGCCTGGAGAAGAGAAGGCTCCGGAGAGACCTTGGAGCCCCTTCCAGTCCCTCAAGGGGCTCCAGGAAAGCTGGGGGGGGGTGGGTTACATGGGCATGTAGTGATGAGCGGTAATAGCTTTGAACTGAAAGAGGGGAGCTTGAGATGTGGGGAAGAAGTTCTTTGGTGTGAGGGTGGTGAGAGCCTGGCCCAGGTTGGCCAGAGAAGCTGTGGCTGCCCCATCCCTGGAGGGGTTCAAGGCCAGGTTGGAGGGGGCTTGGAGCAACCTGGTGTGGTGGGAGGTGTCCCTGCCCAGGGAGGGGGTGGCACTGGCTGGTCTTCAAGATCCCTTCCCCCCCAAAGCATTCTGTGATTCTATTTGCCTTTGTTCAGAGATACCACAGGTGATCCACCATGCCCTCCTCATCGTCAATACCCAGCCATTAGCATGAATACGTACTCCCTTCCCGTCACGCAGTGGCCCGCCGTCAAGACCGAGTTCTCGTTCACCAGAACTCCCCCACAGACGTGGGTGAAGCTGTTGCCGGGCCGGCGGAGCTGGAGGCTGACGGCCCAGGGCCAGGAGCCCACCACGGCGTCCTGTCCCCCCACGATGCGGGACCCCGGGATGGCGTCTGAGAGCGGCTGCTTCCCGCACCCTGCCGAACACAACACTCGTTACAGCCCTCACAGCGGAAAACACAGCTTTTTGGGGACTGGCAGCATTTTTGGGGGGTGGGGGGTGGTGTTTCCTTAATCTACAGCGTTACTTGCTGCAGGATTTCTGATGTTTGCTGCTGGAGCCCAACTTCTGGTAGTTTCCTTAGGTTGTACGAAATCTGTGTGTGTCACCTGTCTACAGGCGCATTTCCTGTGTATGGATTTATTGTGCACATCCAGTCCCTGCGTGAATTCATCCCATTTTGGTGCAAAGTTTTCCCTGTGTCTGTGGGGGCCCTGGGCCGCCACAGCCTGTGTCCCTCCACCTCCTCCCGCCGTCCCCTCAGACACCCCCCCCCCCCGCCCCCCCCCCCCCCG